TTTTTCTGTGTCAAGCTGTGAGTGTAAAACGGTTATAAAAGGAGGCTGAGCACCGAGGCCGGGCTGTAACCCTGGACTTGGACCTCATTAGTCACATTAGCAGCTCCAGGAATGCTAATGTCAGCCTGTTGCTTCCATACTCGGATTAGGAATTTCCCTGATTACCTCCAATGGCAACAACAGGTCAGAAGTTATTGAACTCTTGGGCTTTTAGAAACACTCTGCTGTCTCTGCAGCTGACTTCTGATGCTCGACCTCGCCGAGGCCCGCGGGGTGAGCGGTGAGCGAGAGCAGCCTGTGTAATCAGGCTCATCCTCTGAACAGCGCCGCGCTCTGCTCTGCTACTCACAATATACAGGCACTTATCACACAATCACATGGCCCCAGTTTTACTTCTCTAATGCAATAAATGTTAAGAATAAGTGCCGTGGTTATGAAGTCTTATCTCTTGGTGATGAGGAGATGTGCCATAAAGTCAGAATCACCAGACGATAAGTTCTGGCTATGAGACGGTGAGCTGTGATTATCAGACAGTAAATCATAAGAATAATCTACAGAGTCGGGATTACAAGGTGATAAATCCTAATTAGAGATAATCGGTTGTAATCATGAGATGACAGTGACTCTGTGAGCGAGCAGATGTAAGAGCTCACGCTGAGGAGAAAGTGTGTGAATGTGAGTGAACCGCTCCCTCGCCTGCTTTAATCTTAATGACAATAATGATTCTGCTCATCTGCCTCACTGTGTGGGGAACCGCCAACGAGCCGAGAGCCGGACACGGCGACCGACGCTCGGAGCGCCTCGCACCCGGAGACACCCGGAGACACCCGGAGACACGGAACTGACTGCGCACCACACACAGTGTGTGTGTGTGTGTGGGGGGGGGGGCACATACTGGGCAAACTCAGTGTCCGAGTGCTGCTGATGAAGAAGACGTGTCATCTTCATCTTCCCTCCCTCCAGCCCTCCGAGCTCAGCTCAGGCAGATCACCTGTCCAGCTAATGAGTGTGCGGTGAAGGCTGGACTTCCTGCCTGCTGCGCTGATCCGGAGTCTTCGACGCTGCGCTCACCTGCTCGCCTCATTGAAGCAGAACAGGTTATGTGCAACACGCCCCTGCAGGTGGGAGGAGGATGGCTGTTCCCATCAGAAGACGCTGCAGGTATCTTCGTCTTTAGATTTTCAGCGTCACGGTGTCGCCTCTAAGGCTCTAAGAAGATCGCACCGGTCAGCACGAACCATGTGGCTCTCTTCGTGTTCCCTGATAAATCGCCTCGAGAGCTGTTAATTATTTACGAAACACAAATCAAATCCAGGACAGGCTTCCTGCTCGTTACGGAGCCTCAGCAGCACTTTGATTTTTAATCTCTTCGTGTGGAACGGTGGATCACACTGCCATGAACCTCCTCGTCATCATCCCCCCGCACATGCTCAGACCATCTCAGCCCCTCTGAGCTGTCCCTTTGATGGACTCGGTCCTTGTTATCCTGAAACGGTGTTTAACCTGGAGAACACCGCCGTGTCGTGTGGTTTTCCCATCAGGCCTCAGCATCAGCGGTCTGCACCTCGGCGGCTCGTTCGCCCTCTGGACGTACAGTAAATGAGCGGATCACGGTGTCAACATTCCCATCTGTTTATGTGCACATCCTGCCCGCTCTCCTAACGCACGCCTGCTCAGGAGTCAGGTGGGAGGGCGCAGCAGGAATAAACGTGGCAGGTGTCACCGCACACAGCCGGCGGCTGGGCTGTAGCAGGAAATAGAAAGGAAATAGCTCCTGTCAGTGCTGCAGCTTCCCTCGACTTCCTGTTGACAGGGACACGGATCAAATCTATTTTTTTCTGCATCGTCATGCGGTTGACGATGGGATGGTGCCGGTTATACCGAGGAGAAGGCAGCTGGGATCTGAGCGACGGCACACTCGATCACCTGGTGTCTTCAGGTGAAGAGAGGGTGGCTCTGCACAGAAGAGATGGAGGTGACAGCAGTCTGCTCTCAGGCTGTGTGACGTAGTCTGAGCCGCTGGAGAGACCAAGCAAGATCTGTGGACTCTTTACAAAATGTTGGCTCATCTGTATCGGTCAGCCTGTGGAAGCCAGACACTGGTGTTTGCATCTGTATGGCGGGTAAAAAAAAGATGGCGGCACGCACAGCAGCTCGTGGCTCTCTCTCTTTTCTTGCTTCGTTGTGCTAACTGGACTCTGGTCTTCATTTAGAACTTCCCATAACAGATGACTTTAGCCACACTCACAGCATGGCTGCCATCTAACCGCTGGGATGAAACCCGTGGAACCAGCTTCCAGTTTGGATTCAGGAGACAGACACTATCTCTACTTTCAAGATTAGGCTTCAAACTTTCCTTTTTGCTAAAGCATATAGTTAGGGCTGGACCAGGTGACCCTGAATCCTCCCTTAGTTATGCTGCAATAGATGTAGGCTGCCGGGGATTCCCATGATGCACTGGGGGTTTCTTCTTCACTCACTATGTGTTAACAGACCTCTCTGCATTGAATCATATCTGTTATTAACCTCTGTCTCTCTTCCACAGCATATCTTTATCCTGTCTTCCTTCTCTCACCCCAACTGGTCGCAGCAGATGGCCCCGCCCCTCCCTGAGCCTGGTTCTGCCAGAGGTTTCTTCCTGTTAAAAGGGAGTTCTTCCTTCCCACTGTTGCCAAAGTGCTCATAGGGGGTCATATGATTGTTGGGTTTTCTCTGTATCTATTATTGTAGGGTCTACCTTACAATACTGTTGTTGTGATTTGGAGCTGTATAAATAAAACTGAATTGAATGATGCTGTGGACGGAGGAGGCAGGGAGGCTGCAGAGGGGATTGGATTACACTCACTCAGGCCTCCCTCACCTGCGCAGGACCCCCGACTCAGAACTGGAGTTATTACCTGCTGGACGTCACTGTGCTGTGACTGCTGTGTCATGATAATAACTGAGACCGCCATCTGCAAATTCCCTCATAGTTTAAACTTTAAACAGAATAAGTAAAGCTAATGTCTATGAGGGCTGATGTCAATAAAGAGCAGAAGCATTGCTGTAAACATGTTTATCGCTGCTGTACAATATTAACACAGGGGTCTGCGGGGGCCGACTCACTATTGCCTCTGCTGGACGTGAGAGGAACTGCAGTTTTGCTGCTTGGTTAGCATGACTGAAGCTGACATCAGCACTTAAAGACCACTGCAGAGTTAACCAGCTCAGACTCTGAGCCTCTGAGCTCTGACGTGGACTGAAGCGCAGCGTGCATGTCCAAGAATGAAGAGGACGTTTGTTTATCTACAGGGCAGCGACCTGATAACCTCACTGTCAGGTTAGAAAGCGTTCATGAGGAGAACAGAGTGTGACATCTAAACCCAGTGATCATTTATTTCCTCTCTTTCTTTACAGAGAACTCGGCAACAATTCTGCATGCAGACGACCAAATCTGAAAATTGCAACAGCAGATACGTTCCAAAGGAAATCTAATTGGATTATTCTTTTCTATTAGCATTTGGAGAAAACATTGCTCATTAATATCCTGTTGCCAGTGTGCTGATGCTGAATCTGTCGTGTTCCCCTTTTACCAAAATATCCTAGCCCGCTGCACCGTCTCCTCTCCAATCATTTCCCGCACCGTGTAAATGTTTTCCTCATAATCAGCAGTTTTATGAAAGCCTCTGAGCCCCACCATCCACCCCGGGCACCTTTTGCACTCAGACACAGTTCCTACATGTGAGGCTTCATTCTCTGAGTCCTAAGCTGTTCCTCTGAGCACAACCAGGACAGTTTATGGGCAGCGACGTCAGCAGAGCAGTGGCTTCAGAGCTAATGGTGCAGCTAGAGACAGTCAACAATGGGACCCAGTGTGTAATCCAGAGAGACTGAAATAGAAGCTGTTGAGAGATTTGACTGGTGGTACTTGTATCATTGACATACAGGCTTCCCCCTGAACAGCCGAGTATAGTCCTGACTGTCAGAATGTAAGCTCATATTTGGTGCTGTAGTTGTCCTCCCGCGTCAGAAAAGAAAAAACCTTCCAGCTCGCATCAAAAACTGGCCGAGGAGACCTCAGGCTGAATGTTAGAGGAGAGAGAGGAATGAAGATGAAGTGGCAGAGAGTGTCCTCAGAGGGGGGAGGCTGAAGGAGAAGGGAACGGAGGTGATGAGGAGGGCTTGGCTCGGGTTGGGTGTTTTAGAGAAATGTTTGGATTTTGTAAAAAGGAAACATTTGTGATGAACACTCTCTTTAAGAAGAGGGAGGAGCAGGGTGGAGGTGATGGATGAGGAAGGTGCGCGC